ATGGCAATATACAAAAACCTGTAGGAGAACACTTCAACCTCCCTGGCCACACTAAGCAGATGTAAAGGTAGCCATCCTGCAGCAAAAAAACTTCAGACCCAGACTTCAAAGAGAAACTGCTGAGCTTCAGTTCATTTGCAAATTTGACACCATCCGCTCAGGATTAAACAAGGACTGTGAATGGCTAGCCAACTACAAGAGCAGTTTCTCCTCCCTTGGTGTTCACACCTCAACTGCTAGAAGAGGGCCTCACCCTCCCTGATTGAACTAACCTCGTTATCTCCAGACTGATTCTTGCCTGCATATTTATACCTGCCTCTGGAAATTTCCATTACATGCGTCTGACAAAGTGGGTATTCACCCACGAAAGCTTATGCTCCAATACATCTGTTGGTCTATAAGATGCCACAAACTCCTTGTCGCTTTTTACAGAAATTGAGGGAGTGGGAAATAACGAAGAGGACAAGTCACTGAAACAGCGCGATCTGGATCGTTTGGTAAGCTGGTCACAAGGAAACTATGCATTTTAATATGGTTTATATATAAGTGTACACATCTAGGAACAGAGAATGTCGGCCATACTTACAGGATGGGGGACTCCATCCTGGGAAGCAGGGACTCTGAAAAATATTTGGGGGTCATGGTGGATAATCAGCTGAACCTGAGATCTCAGTGCGATGCTTGGCCAAAAGAGCTAATGTGATCCTGGGATCCATAAATAGGGGAATCTCAAATAGGAGACAATATTTTACCTCTGTGTTTGGCACTGGTGCGACTGCTGCTGGAATCCTGTGCCCACAATTCAGGGAGGATGTTGGTAAATTGGAGAGGATTCAGAGAAGAGCCATGAGAATGATTAAAGGATTAGAAAACCTGCCTTACAATGACAGACTCAAGGAACTCAGTCTATTTAGCTAAACTAAGAGAAGGTTAAAGGGTAACTTGATTACAGTCTTTAAGTACCTGCATGGGGAACAAATATTTTGACAATGGGCTCTCCAGTCTAGCAGAGGATGGTAAAACACAACCCAAGGGCTGGAAGTTAAAGCTACATGAATTCAGACTGGAAATAAGGTGTACATTTTTAACAGGGAGGGAAATTAACTACTGGAACAATGTACCAAGGTCATGGTGACTCACTGGCAGTTTTTAAATCAAGACTGCATGTTTTTCTAAAGCTCTGCCCTAGGAATGGTTGTGGGGCAGGTCTCTGACCTGTGCTGTACAGGAGGTCAGACTAGATGATCACCATGCTTCCTTCTGGCCTTGGAAGCTGTGCACCTCTTTCCTAGGCTGCCAGAATCAAACTCAGAGAGAGGAGGTGGGCGAGGGCTAGGGCTAAGGGCGTTTATTGGGCTAGCTTCTGTTGGTGAGAGATTAACTATCCCAGTGCAGGGCCTGCTCTCCAGGGAGCTCTCCCCATGCCCAGGGAAGGACACAGCAAGAGAGTGAGGTCATTAAATGGGAGACAGGAAGGGCAACTGAACAAAACAGCTAATCAGATTCTGCACAAAGCGACAAAACTTTCCTTGCTAGCAGTTGTTACAAACGTGTCCCTACAGCAGAAGATGATGTTTTCATGACAGGTGCTGGAGATGACTCTCCACATTAGTGCAGTTGCATCACAGACTATGCTAATGGTGACACAGCAAAGCCCTGGGCTCATTCCATTCTACAGAGTGCAACTTCCTGCCACCTCCCTGGAGAGAGAGCTCTGCTTTACCCACACGTTCTGAGACTCACCAGGACTTCGCCAGTGGGAGTCCCCTACACACCTGAATTAAATCCCTGTGACATGTAACAGCAGCGATGGAGAACATGCAAGAGCAGAGAGGTGAGCATCTCTCCCCGGCCTTTTTGTACCAGAGCAATGGTCACTTTGTATGGAGGCAGCTTGCTGAGGCCTGGCTTGCAGCGTCCCCGTTCTCCGGCGCAGCTGCCCTGTGTGAATGCAGCTGTGCGCGCGCTCGCCTGACAGAGGCGGGTCTCAGCCGTGATTCTGCTGCAGGCGCACTGAGGTGAGCTAACTGGCCGTGGCCAGGAAACAACCCCTGTGTGTGAGGAACAGCTGAGGACCCCGGTGGCTCCGCAGCAGCTGCACAGTGCTGTGGGCTGTGACATTCGATCGCAGATGGATGTAGGGTCCGAGCTATGCTGGGCACTTTACAGCTCAAGTAAGAACACGGGTCCTGCCCTGAAGAGTTTCTTCTGTGAAGTGATCGTGGCAAGGCACTGTGGGGAGATAAAAGCACGGGGCTCGGCCCGAGGCAGAGTTCTGGGGCTGCCTGGGGGGGACAGTCCCAGCGTGCCTGTTCCCAGGCAGCTCTTTGTGTGTGTGATCATGTAGGGGAATCAGCGGGACGGTGGAGAATCTGACAGAGGAGAGGGGGGCTGTATGGCATGCAGCATCAGGGAGGACTCCCGGGCAGCATGGACAGGGCAGGAGGTTGTGCTGGGGGAAGCAGATAGAATACAGAACCGGAAGAGGAGCGTGGCTGGCAGGGAGGAGCCCTGGAAGTGAGGACCAGGAGTTTGGAATGGATGTAAAGAGGATGGGGAGCCCGTGGCGTGGGGCGAGGAGTTCAGAACGGTGGGAGCTCTGGTTCAGCTATGATGGCTGGACAACCTGGAAGAGATGTAGGAAAGAGCATCAAGGGGAACACTGCTCATGGCCACAGGTGTGGGATAGATCTGAGGGTCATTTCCACATGTGGCAACAGAAGCCCTGCCAGTGGATGGGCTCAGAGGTTGAACAAGAAGGAGAGTTGCCACAGCCCACTATTTACCTGTCGCAGGTTACCTAGCTGGCCTCCCATCACCAGAGTATCTTGGACCGCAAGATATTTCTCTTCACAATGCCCCTGTCAGGAAAGGAAGCTCCCTTCTTCAGTTGCTACATAGGGAAACTGAGGCACAGAGGGACTGAGTTACTTATCCAAGGTGTCTTCATACATGAACATCGGTATCAGGAGCTAGGAACTGAACCCAGCTCTCTCAAGTCCCAGCTTAGCACCCCTAAGCACTGAGCCATCCTTCCCTTTGCCAGGCCCCGTCCCCTCACGATGCCCCTGAGAGCTGGCAAACCACAGGAGGCACCTTTAAAAAGACTGAGGCCAGGTCTACACTAGAAAAGTTTAGCTAGATCAGCAAACCCTTCCTGTGTAGACTCAGCTCAAACTGGCAAAAAGGCGCTTTCATCAGTGTAACTTACACCAGTTCCCCGACTGAAATAAGCTATACCAGCAACACCATTTTTATGCCAGTATAACTGTCTACACACCAGGGATTTTATCAGTATAGAAATGTTGCAAAAGTCACACCCCTGCCCAAGATTACTGTTCCAGTAAAAGTTTCTAGTGTAGATCTGGCCTCGTCAAATACTTCTGTAGAGGTGGAAGGACGTGTGTATACATTAGTTTGCGGCTTCACAGCCAGCGGGAAGACAACATGCATCGGCAAAGTCCTCTCCTCCACATTTCTCAGCAGGAGCGGAGAGGAGAGGATCATATGACAAAAAAGTATATTGGTTAGAGTAATAAAATAGATGGAAAAACCCGACCAGCACCATCTCCCCAGCACCAGTGCAGGATTTAGTCCATTCTAGTTTACATTTATCTGTAACTTTTCCATCCTTTACTTTGGCCTCCGGCGCTAGCTCTGAGAAGGGGAAGGGATCACACACACGTGTATGCAGAGGACTTTCCCAAGCAGACTGTAACCGTTCGTAACATACATTCTGCTTGAGCGTGTCCCTGGAAGTGTAAGGGTAAACATCCTGGCCGTTGTGTGCTTGGCAGTGGCTTGGAGCCCAGACACCCTTGGCTCAGGCTCCTCCACAGGAAAAGCAATATCCATTATCACCAATTTCACAGTGTGACGTTATTGACATAAACTGGGACCATATAGATCATTGTTGCAACCAAGGTCCTGTAGTGGCACCCAAATCTTGTATAAAGGGGGTCAAATGGGGTGTCTAAGACAAGGTTATGGTTTACTGGTTATGATTAGGCTGTCTATATGTGTGTATCAGTTTTGTAGTTGAAGTTATGAATATTGGCTCTATACTGTCTGTATGACAAACTTATGCTATGCTTCTGGGTGACATCCCAGACAAGCTGGGATTAGCTCTGCCTAGCCTGCTTGATGGCCCATTAAGGACCATCAGCTATACAATGGACTCATTGAGAGAAGGCAAATATGCCTTCAGACTCAGCAAAGTATGCAGGGACTGGCCCATGTGACTCCAGGCTCCATTTTGCTGTAATTTTCCACAGTAAGAACAAAGAGGTGTTCTTACACCTGGAAAAGACTATATAAGGCTGATGCCTCATCTCCATCTTGTCTTCAATCCTGCTTCTTACCTCTGGAGGAACTTTGCTACAAGCTGAAGCTTTGAACAAAGGACTGAGGACCCATCCCAGCGGGGGATGTATTCCAGAGACTTGATTTGAACCTGCAGTTTATTCTATCGCTGCTGCAAGCCTGAACCAAGAACTTTGCCATTACTGTATGTAATTGATTCCATTTAACCAATTCTAACTCTCATCTCTATCTTTTTCCTTTTATGAATAAACCTTTAGATTGTAGATTCTAAAGGATTGGCAACAGCGTGATTTGTGGGTAAGATCTGATTTATATATTGACCTGGGACTGGGGCTTGGTCCTTTGGGATCAGGAGAACCTTTTTCTTTTACTGGGGTATTGGTTTTCATAACCATTTGTCCCCATAACGAGTGGCACTGGTGGTAATACTGGGAAACTGGAGTGTCTTAGGAGATTGCTTGTGAGACTTGCGGTTAGCCAGTGGGGTGAGACCGAAGTCCTCCTAGTCTGGCTGGTTTGGTTTGCCTTAGAGGTGGAAAAAACCCCAGCCTTGGGCTGTAACTGCCCTGTTGGAGCAATTTGTCCTGAGTTGGCACTCTCAGTTAGGTTCCGCCAGAACCGCATCGTCACACACAGTCCTGGACTCAGGCGGCTCAGCTAGCCCCCGGGCGCCTTACCTCCTTTATGGCAGACATCTTGATGCTCTCGTAGTAATGTAGTGGTGCATTTGGTGAATTCATGTCATAGCCAAATCCAGCTACTGCTACCTCATCACAGTTGTGCAGTGCCATGGTGATTGCGACACTTCCCAAGGTGGGGATGTTCTGAGGTGGGGAAAAGAAGGAATATACATTGTTAGTTGTCATCCTTAGAACAAACCCTGATTTCCAGCGAATGGCTCTGAGACAGAGATTGCCTCTGCAGGGCTGCTCAGGGGTAGGGCATTCAGCCACCTCTGCGCCTCAGCTGCCAAGTGCTAACTCTGAGTCAACAGCCTCTGGATCTGTAGAGAAAACTTAGGTCTCCGAGGCACTACAGCCATACGAACAACAAGAATACATCCGGCTTGCCAGGTAGCTGCTTCCTGCCCCTCTAGCCAGCGCCATCTGAAACCCCCAGCCCACAAGCAGAGGCTCCTGTTCAAGGGACCATGCTCGGCCTTTCCTGCAGGAATATAGCAAGGCAGAGCGATTCACGCACGAGGTTAATCCTCCCCTTCTCCAGCTGTTGGACCTTGGGGCTAGGACAGTGAATACTGCTGGGAGAGGAAGCACGAAATAGGTCAATTCTTTGCTGGAAGTGGGTAAATTTGTTTTCAGAGATTAAAATAGCCATAGGCACGGAGCTGCTGTTCTAAATCCAGGAGCGGTTCTCAGTTAGTACTGATGCTGAACGGGGAACGTAACGCACGGGATTCTGCGGAGTCGCAACTGCAGCAGCTCTCAAAGCAGTTTAAGCAGGTACCGCTGCACTGGGGGGAGGGGCCAGCCAGGAGTACCCCTTCCTCCCCAGCACCCCTGCACAGTTCTGGGTTGGGGGAAACCCCCATTAGGGGGCACTAGGACCCAGGCAGCACTCCCCAGCCATGTGGCCTTAGAGAAAGAAACTGCAGGGAGGAGCCAGCCAGAGATTGAAGCCAGCAGAGCAGCTGCAGAACAGTCCAAGCAGGGAACGAGAACACAGAGGGTGTCGGAGTGTTTGCTGCATTTTCACTCCGAACAGTCTCCCCCGTGGGCTGATCAGTTTGCCCCAAAACCCTCTTCTCATTACCCTCCTCCCTTCCTTTGTCTTTCCATTTTGCGCCTAAATGCACCCACCCAAAGACTGAAACCACAAAGAAAGGGGCAGGCGAATACGCTGTACGCCCCCATAGGATGGCCAGGTCGAAAAGGGGACCTGACAGCATCCGGTCACTCCCAAGGTCCGCTTACTGCAGGTGCGGGAGGAGCTGGGTCATCACCTGCGCCAGCCCCTACTCAGCCTGGGCCGTCTCCTATCTGCGTCGGGTGGCTGCAGCTCCCTGCCCTGGCTCCACAGGCGAGTCCCTCCTGACCTGCGCGGGGTGGTAGGAAAGAGGGGAAGAGCAGATGGGGGAAAGAGGGAAGAAGAATGAGCAAGGGGCATGGCCTCAGACAAGGCGGGGTAGGGGTAGGGCAAGGGTGGGGCCTCAGGGGGAAGAGGCGGGGCAGGGGAGATTCCCGCACTCCTGCTGGAGTGTCTGGTTTTTAAATATTGCAAAGTTGGCAACCTGACTTCCCCAGTGTGTCGTATTGCTTTAACTACTCCAGTTTAGTTAAAACAGCGCAACTGCCGTGTTTAGACAGGCTTGAGTGATGTCCTCATGCCAGGTGAGTAAAGTCACTGCTTGACAGAGCTCCCGAACGTCTCAGCAAGCGGGTGAACCCACGCAGCACTGCCTATCACTCTGGAGCCCAGCTCTTCTTGAGCTCAAGAGACAGTGAGAGATTGATTTATTCGGTCCTCTCTTTGGCATCTCTAGAGCCCCCACCACTGTCCTGGCAAAGAACTATTCAATGTGACCAGCACTTGCCACACAAAGACCTCCACCCGACCTGCTCCTGAGGGAGCAGCAGCTTCGAGCACAGCTCCTTGGCTCGAGCAGGATGGAGCGCCCAGCAGTTTATGGGGTGTTGTAGTGTATCGGAGGTACCTGTGAAAGGGCAAAAACTACAGGTGACTAAAATAATGACATTTATTAAATCAAACTTGCCTAATGCAATTAGAAGGGTGTCCACTTGAAACGAAAAGGGAACCTGGACGTATTTTTTCCAATTTTTTTAGCAAAGCATCCAGACACGGGAGGTAACTGTCCCGCTCTACTCGGCACTGGTGAGGCCTCGGCTGGAGCACTGAGTGCCATGCTTTAGGAAAGATGTGGACAAACTGGAGAGAGTCCAGAGCAGAGCAACAAAGAGGGCAAAAGGTTTAGCAACCCTGACCTATGGAGAAAGGTTAAAAACCTGGGCCTGGTTAGTCATGGGAAAAGAAGCCAGAGGGGGACCTAATGGTAATCTTCAAATAGGTTAAGGGTTGTTATAAAGAGGACAGTGACCAAGTGTTCTCCACCTCCACTGAAGGTAGGACAAGCAGTCATCAGCTTCATCTGCAGCAAGGGAGATTCGGGTTAGGATTAGGAAAAACTTTCTAACGCTAAGGGTAACTGAGCTCTGGGACAGGGTTCTAAGGGACGTTGTGCAATCCTCATGATTGGAGGGTTCTAAGAACAGGTTGGACAAACGCCTGTCAGGGATGGTCTAGGGTCCTGCCTCAGCCCAGAGGACTGGACTTGATGAGTTCTCGAGGTCCCTTCCAGCCCTACAGTTCTAGGTACTTCCCATAAAGCCCTGACCATTAGCGACACTGTAGTTCCGTTCATTGCAGTGTCACACACACACGTTGTGTTGCAGCAGCATGCAAACCGTTATGTTCATGAGAACACAAAGCTGCAGAAGAGTCTGATGGCCTGACTCTGCCCGCACTTACCGGGGCCCCACTCTGATGGGGTAGCTGATGGGAGAACTGGGGCCTTTGCCTGCAGCGATTTTTACTGGCCAAGTAAACACATAAGAGCAAACGTTCTAGTATGAGAATTGATCGTCACACCCAATCTTCACTGGGAATTTCCAAACGGTCACAATTTGACGTTTTTAAAACACAATCCTGATTCTGTTTGCATACAGCTTGTTAACACACAGATTCTAGTAATAAAAGGTGAATTTTCTCCTGGTCACAGAAATTTGAGCAAAGGACCTATTTGGGTGTAACTTGTACAATTCCTGTATCATCCCGATCATGAGGATTTCTGAGCACGCCTTTGGCCGCCCCTCTTTAAACCCCAACAAACAACCCCCCAAGAGTTCTTGATTTCTAACATTACACCAGCAACAGCTGTCTAGTCCCATTACACTAAGAACTGACCCATGGCCCTTAGAAAACTAATTGGGTATGCCCCTAAACTTGCATACAATTAGAAGACTTGACTCTTGGCAGCAGCTTTTACATGAACTAAGCAGCAATGCCTATAGAGTTCCCTTGCAACATCATAGTTAAACTGAGTAACAACTAAATCCATGTTCTCAGTCCCGCACGTCTGTGGCTCTCCGCTAGCCAAGAGAAATATGCAGCCATGATGTGTTTACACCACTGCTGCTGAGCTACTGTATCACAATCTCAAAACGTGAAACCCCGCCGCCTACAGGAGAGCCCCCAGGAGACTCACTGAGCTCTTCTGTCCGCCCCCAGACAATGCCTGGGTCTCTGATTTTCTTCCCTCCATTAAACAATGACGTGAGCTCTCAACTCCACAGTGAAGGCCCCAGGATCCCCGGCCCAAAGTACAGAGGAGCCAATATAGCAGCATGTCCCTCCCCCCTACTCCCAAGATCGATGACCCAGTGGAAGCAGCTCTCGGCTCTGGTCAGTGGAGGCACTGCAGCTCTGGAGGTTCACTGGGACCAGGGAAGCATGTCCTTAGAAGATGCCTGTTCCTTCCACACTGTCCTACGCTACAGGAAGAGGAGAACAGGGTGTTCCTCTAAGGGACTGGAGTTTCCATCCCCTGTGAACCCTGCTGTCTGTGGGGTTTGGAGGCTGTGCTCCTGTCCCTTGCCCCTTAAGAGAGAACTCCACCCTGTACACTGCACAGTTCCCTTCACTCTCCATCCCCAGCCTGCAAGTTTAAATGGGGAGGTACCATATGCCCCACCAGCCTGGGTCCACAGAGCCTGTGATGTTTAAAAGCAACAGGACCCAAGTGAAACTTTCACTGAACTTTAACTGCTGCATGTGAAATCTCGTGCTGCTTTTAATGCCTTACCAGGGTCATTCCCGTGTCACTGCCTTTTGGGCTGGAAGGAAATGACTGCTGTAAATCTGTTTTTCGAAATATTTGACACTCTTCTTACGTTAAATGAGTTCCAGTCATTTATGGGGTTTTGCCTAGTTCAGTTAAAGAAATACTAAATTTTCCAAATATTTCCATTATCTTTGTCTTTAAATAAAAGGACAAGTGTTGTTAAAATACATTTCTGAAAAGCAGCATAACTACAACGGAATATTAACATTAACTGTATCAACTGATACAGTAACTTAATGTCGCCTTATTTCTTTGGGAAAAAGGAGAGGTTACTCCGAGGTGTGTGTCACCCTCCTCCCCCCGTGGGGGCTCCATGCAAGTTCTCTGAGGTGTGGGTCCCCGTGGGTGCTCCACGCGAGTTCTCTGAGGTGTGGGTCCCTCCACCTCCACTTTAGGTGCACGTGTGCCCCAGTGCCTTTGGTCGAAGAGTTCTGGTAGCAGTACCTGTTCGGCCCATGCATGCACCCTACACATCCTTGGGCCCTGTACTGCGGCTATCTAGGGCTGTGTGGGCAAACCACCCGCAGTTCCTTCTCTACAGCAAAGCCCACAGAGGCAGCTCCGAAGCAGAAGGGCAAGTGGAGCACCCACAGAGGGATGCAGTTACTGCAGAAGGTGCGTAATCTCTCCTTCTTCTCTGAGCAGCACCCCTGTAGGTGCTCCACTTTAGGTGATTCCCTAGCAGTAACCCTTTAAGGAGGTGGGAGTTTCAGAGTAGAGTCCGTCACCGAAGAAACAACTGTGTTGCTCGCTGCCACATCTGATCCTGCAGCATGAACTGGGCACAGAGGTTGGAAAATGTGCGCACTGAGGACCACGCTGCAGCCCTGCAGATTTCAGCAACTGGAACGTCTTTGAGTAGGGCTACAGATGTAGAGTGTGATCTAGAAGAGTGCAGGCACTCTTAGGGAAGGTGTAACCTCAGCGAAACCATAACAAGCAATAACA